AATTGCCCCCCCTAAAAATTTTTTTTTGGCTGAGACTTAAGAAGAACGCCATGAAAACAAGCGTTTTTAAGCGAAAAAGTGCTTATTGCCCCCCCTGAAAATTATGGTCCGGCCCGCCAATGTGTCAAACCTTCAACATACAATAAGCAATGCTGTGAGCTACGTAAACACTGATATTTTATGGAGAAAGCGGTATCTTCAGTGGTGTGAGTGTCGGTGTGCCAGTTTCTGAATGCGTATAAACAAAACACTCACGCTCACACTTTCACCTTCACCCACACACTCCATTGACATCCACACCCTCATTTTCGTAAATCCTTCAAGACTATATTATGCACTCAGTTACATTTGTTCTTGTATTGTTCTATTAGAATAAACCTAAAAAATAAGTAGAATCATCTTATAAATTCTTTTTCTTTCTTCTATATGTTTATTTCAATGCGACAATTCACTTATAGATCTACAGAATACATGGAATCATTCCATAAAAACAAAATTATTTTATATATTCAAACGAATGTTCAATAACATTGTTAACTTGAGATATAACTCAAGAAAGAACAAATAAATTCAAATATGAACTGGTCATCTATTTGTTTCAAATATCTCTTAATTCCAGTGGAATGCTAAGTTTAACTCAGTCTATAAAACAATAAAAAATTAAATCACCGCTTTACTTCAATATAAAAACATTCTTAAATTAAGATACATTTCAAGGAAAAAATTCACACATAAAGGGATCATTTGTTTTAGATTTATTTTGATCAAGAGAAGCGATGCTAAGTTCAATTCAAAATACACAGCAATACGAAACATAAAATGTTATTCTATATCTTGCGGTCACCTATTTATTTTGTTTATTAACTTAAAATACTGTATTCTCTTTTTCTTATTAATAAATTAATTTTAAATGATCTTCATTTAAATTCTCTAATAGATTATAATGTATCGTGAATGAGATGGTTTTTATCTTAATCATGTATAATATACTATATAGTTTCTGCTTTAAGAATCAAAGAATTTTAATTCAAGATATTACAAAATAATATGTATATTTTCTTTCAACTAATGTCTTTATTCCTTTGAGGATCGTGGGACACACGTTGTCCGACCTGTTTTTCAAGAGACAAAAGAGTGTTTTGTTCACATTAAGCTGTTAGATCTGCATGGTAGTACAGGTGAGACAACACATATCCCATGGTCCTCAAAGAGTTAAAGATTCTTCTATTTTATACTCAAACAAAATTATTTAAAAGCGATGTTTTTTGCACAATTCTTTAATAGATTATATTCGAAATTAATCAAAATATTCAATGAAATTTTGACTTTTTTGGATTATCTTTTTTATGATAATTAGTTTCTTATCAATTTCAATCTGATTTTTTGATTCAATCTATTTTACATGAGAAAGTTTGCTTTTTATAGCAGACCTTATATTCTTAGGTTTCCAAATATGTAGATAGTTCACTGTAACATGACATTAGCAATTGGCATAACTTTCGCAATAGTTTCGTAATGAAAATATGAACTGAAAACTAGTAGCCATTGAGAATTTCTGACAGTCAATCAGAATCAGTTCAGAAAAATGAGATTGAAATTTCGAAATGGTAGTCTTTAGTTTAGACGAAATTTAACATTGGATGTCTGGCTGAATTTTCGACACCATAATCAATCCATTCTGCTTAACCCGAACTTCTCATGGTATGATGATAAAAGCGTCAGCACAAAATATAGTGCTAGGATTTTGTCAGTTGGAGACTTAAGCTCATATTTCTGGATCGTTTAACCCGTAAAAATCGCTAAAAACGGGCAAAATAGACTACCTTCAGAGTCCTAAGAACTGTTAAAATACCGGTGAATACTGGCCAGTTTTAACTCTGCTAATGAGCACTGCCAGAATTAGTTTTAAATGTAGAAGCTGAATTGGAGCAAGCGAAAAAGTCCGGAACCTTTTTATGTGAAATTGAACAGATATATCAATATCATTTAAATAAATAATAATATTTATAAACAATAAGATGGATAGTAGAGATACAGAATTGATCATTTTTTGTTCTATTGTTTGTCTTATTAATACCAGAAATAGTAGATTGTGTTTGAAGGAAACTTGAAATACAAACTGATTAATTTTTGCATTTCGTATATAATGGTGGAACTTCTCAATAATTTTAAAATACCATCTAGAAGTGTTGACGGTACAATATGGGTTGGTCACGTCAATGTCAGTTGAAACTCAAAAACATGTCGATGACACTAATAAAATATTTCAATCTGATTTTCACAATCGTCATAAAAGTAAGGTGCTTACCAAGTGAATGGTATTGAAGTATATGATTTGTATCGTATTTTAATTTTTTGTTCTTATATGATCATTCAGTATTTTGACGAAAATTAAATGTCAGGTATTAACTAACACGCCTATGACAAAATGCTGTGAAAGTTGTATATTTTACTGCTTCTCCTAAAATCAATTAAAAACTTTTGACTTCTTTGTTTTTTACAAGCGCTTTTCCTCAATCATATGTTGGTCCATAAAACAGAACAAAACAATAATCTCTTTCTGCGTCTTTTTCCTAAGCCTCTATTTGACTGAAAAAAAATCAAACCAGCGCAATCTAAAACACTTAAAAAAGAACGATCAAATGAATTTCAATTAGTTCCTCAATATTGAAAACAATAGTATAGTAGTTTGAAAGAAATTTATTGTTAATTTATAATTCTGACATTAATTATTTTCACTTATTCTTGTCTAGAAAATAAAATCAATTGAAATATTTCAAGTATTATCAAGATGATTGATGCATCAATAAACTTCTAATGTCACTCATAATATTTTATTATATTAACTATGTGTTGCATTTCTATCAGTAAATAAAAAAATTTCTTTCGAACTTGCCGAAGTCTTTTACTCGCTATGTGAAGTTTGATGTTTTGAATAGGAAACTTTTCATTTACATAATCGTTTACTGAATTTATCTTCCTTTTTTTTTTCGAAAATGTTAGTTTAATATCAATTATGATTAAGACTTTTTATGTGTAGAATTTTGAAGAAATGTGTTTTTTCTTTATTTGAGGATGATGAGATCTTCAGTAGGCGAGCCAAGAAAAAAGAAGAACGAAAAAAAGATAAGCACAGAGAAACATCTCGAGCGCAAAAACTGACTAACGTGTATGTGTCATACAAATCGATTGATGCGGTTTTTTTTTTTCTTAATAAACGCATTGAGTGCATACAAAAAAAAAGAGAAAAATGTTTTATATAGAGTGAACTATAGATATTAGAAGAACAAAAGTAAAGGAGAGTTATTATCGCAAGAAAGAAAAGAAAACACAAGAGACAAACAAACAAACAAATTGAAAGGGATATGTATGTGAGAAACAAAAATACCTATTGAAGCTTCTTTGTTTTTAAGACAAGATAATGTACATTGATCTCATTTTGTTTGATGCTCCTCTAAAGTTTGGGAATGCTTTTTTTTTTGCAAACACTGTTTTATAAACATACATGCAAACGAAAAAAAGAAAAATATGGCTGCTAGACTATACTTATGTGTATCACAGTCTGATGCTTTTTTTGCATTTGATATTTAGGTATTTCTGTCTCTATTTTGAAAAGATTCAAAAGTGATACATAAAATATGTATGCATATACACAGCCATCCTTTTTTATTATAATCATTCATCAAGTTCGCCTTGACTACTATCATCACCATTTAATTGTTCGTCATCGTCTTCATCAATATCATCATAGTCCTCGGACATGTCATCTTCATCGAATTCATCTTGATTAAAACCAGCAGCACCATGCAATATTTGATGATGTCCCATAGCTGCTGATAAAAAACTATCAATATCAGTTGCATGTGAACGAAAATCAAAACCAACAGCAGCAGCTTGACCTGCCGATGAATTAGGTTCATTAGGATTTTCATAACTAAATTGTTCGGAATACAGAAGACCATCAACAGAATTATCAAATAATGGTTCACCAGTGACCCTAAATAGAAATCATACGACTTTTGTACAATCACTCATCTGGTAGACAAAAAAGAAAATATTTTTCTAGAAAGTCAAGTTAGAATAAAAAGAACAATGGAGATTTTCTTTCAATCTAACTAGAAAAATCTCTCAACTGATTTATTGCTTTGAGTTTCTGGACTATGTATATCATATAGACCGTAATGAGCTATGAATACTGTGATAAAGGTTCCAGTCCTTCGCTTATTATTGCTGAAATGCTGCGATTGTACAATATTCTGTTGTTGATGCCAAGGTTCCTCTCCTCACGAACACACTGAAAACTTATTTTCGAATTTCCATTTGAAATTTTACACAGATACAAATCTTAACGAGAATGGATTATTTTGCAAGTTTCAGGTCTATTAACTCGCTCATTTTTTGAAATAATAATATTCAATCTGCTGATGTCTATGACAAGTATAAAAGGTAATATTTTATCATAGTTGAATCTTTGGATAAGAACAACGAATTGATCTAAAATTTTGACAATATTTATGAAAAATTTTAAGTTGCAATTCGAAAATCAGTTTTCTTACTGTTCCTGATAGGAACTACAGTATTACCTTTAGAAAAAATACTATCAAAATGCAATATCTCAGCAGCATGAAGTTTAGGGTCTGAACTCTTCTCAGAATATTAATAGTTTACTACGGTCTACATGATGCATATATGATCAAGATTAAATATTGATTTGGTTTCATGAAACCCGACCTAGAACAGGTAGAGTATAGGCATTGGAGATTTGAGCACATACTCTTTCCACAGAAGCAGGCACAGGCCATATATCAACGACATCTCGTTCTAATATATGAAGTATTTCCCCTGATTGCATTTCTGAAAGATTAAGTAAAACAATGATAAAACAAATGTGTCCCAAAACACATAGAATGTAGCAATATTCCTATGATTAGCAAGAATAGCTATATCGTGTTTCACATTACAATCCCTCAGAGATTCTACTAACATCTTTCTTACAATAGAACCTTTCAAAATGTCCAACATTAGTTTAAAGTAAAATGAATATGACATTTGATAGACAATGATCATCGTTTAAAAGATTTAATTAAGGACTTAAATATTTGCAGAATTATTATTAAGATTACAATTTCAGAATTCTACAGTTTAAAGTTGAGAAGATCGTTTTACTTTTATCCTTTTGAACAGAAAAAAAAAAAAAACATTTCTCTGTCAGATGTTTTACTCATAACTAAATGTCGTGTGACAGTTGAAAAAAAAAAAAACCTTTTCCCATAATTTACCATGGATTCATTAAACATTCAGCAGCTGTTGCACGTTGATTAACATCATAGTGAAGCATTGGTTCGAGAAAATGTGTAAATTCAATAGCTTCATATGGTGGCCATTTATATTTCTCAGTTAATACATGAAATAAATCCCATGGTTTTAATTGTTTTATATTACGTAATTGTCCTAAATTTAATTAATATATGTCATCTTACATACAACAACAAAAAAACCATGTTACCTCGTCGATTAAAAAATTCTTTCGAATATCGACCTGAATGAGCTATTTCAACAGGTATTGGACCTAATAATTCAATAATATGTGCAATATGATCTTCATCTCGACTATAATCTTCTCCACTATGGGGTTCAAATAAATAATCACCAGTTACTAATTCAAATGCCATACAAGCAACACTCCATATATCAGCTGATGTATCATAACCAGCTCCAAGTATAACTTCAGGTGAACGATATTGGCGTGTTTGAATATCTTCAGTAAAATGTTGATACTAAGATAAGAGGATAAAGAAAGTAGAAGAATCAAATAAATTTTTTTTTTGTTAATATTCGCTTAAACTTACTGTCCAACAAGCATTGCCTAAATCGGCTATTTTAACTTGAAGAATCTCTTCTGGTACCACTTCGAAAACAGGATTTGCTGTTCGTTCGGCCATTGGTCGAGCTAAAAATGATTAAAATAATAATTATTTTTTAAACTTAAAAAGTACATACGTCTATCTGATGAAGCAGATTCACTTGGATTTATTTGTTTATTTGCATCACCTGAAATAGCTGCAGCTGCAGCCATAGCTGCTTGTTCATTAAGTGATTGTTCAGTTTCATGTCCATTACCAGAATTATCAATTGGATTATCTTCATCACTTTCTTCAGGTGAATTTTGTTTATGTCCATTTATATTTTTTTCATTTATTGGAAGATCTATTTCATCCGTAATAGATATTTTATTTAGATCGATTATATTTGGTGAATTTAAAAGTTTTTGTTTTTGTTTTTCTGCATCCTTAAATATTCAAATAAAAACTTAGAAGAAAACAAATACTTCAATAGAAAAAGGTAAATTTACTTGAATTTGTTGATGTGTTAATTCAAGCATTTTTTGTTTTTGTTTTTCTTTTTTCTTTAATTTTTTCTTCTTGTTTTTCGACATAGTTTTTAAGTCTGGTTTGTTTACAATATGTGTTGTAGCGACTGAAAAAAATCAACAAAAAAAAAAAAAAAAAAAACGAATAAATTATTAAACAAACAAATATTTGATGTTTTCCTACCAGCTGATCCAACAGGTTTAGCTCCAATTTTATGCCATTCCGCAGCTTGATATGCCAAAGCACGTACATGTTCTTCATCAACACACATAAGAACATTTTCTGGTTTTATCTATAGAAAAATATTTATTTTTAAAAAATCAAAACAAAAATATATTTTTTATACATCCGTATGAATAATCTGACATTTTCGATGTAAATAATCAAGACCTTGTAGTACTTGTTTAATAATTAATTTAACATTAGGAATTGGTATACCACGATAATTTGAACGTATTATTAATTTAAGTAAATTATGTCCAAGAACTTCAAATACCATACAAACATGTAAACCATTTACTCCAGCAACTTTAAATTCATCTAATAATTGAACACATTTAAGACGAAATGGATCTAATGGATCACTTTCACGAACACTTGTTAATAATTTTATTTCATCTAAGGCTGTTTCAGTATAATGTTTAGCACTTTTAACTACTTTCATAGCAACAAATCCTGTAGATTTACGATCCCAACATAACCATACAGTTGAAAAATGACCTAAATAATGAAGAAAAATAAATAATAATTTTAAATATTTTTCTTGTTTTGTTCATTACCCCATCCTAATTTACGTATAACATGATAACGTTGATTAAATGTTGAACCGATAGTTACAGGATGATAACCACCTTTACAATAATCTTTTGGATCTTCTTGTTCATCATCATCTGAACCGCGAATGTCATGAGTTTCTTCTGTTTCTGCTTCTTCTTCATTATCACTTTCCATTTTATTCATTTGAACACTTATTGGACCATTTTCATTTTCTTTATCGACCATAAGATTTTCATTTATGTTTAGAATTCTATATAAATGAAATATATTGTATTCATTTGAGAAAAGATAATGATTAAAAATTACGTATTTGGAAGAGGTGCACTCGATGATAAACCACCACTGCTGGATACTGTAAATGATGAATCCGATTGGGGAATTGGTAAATTGTCAGTTGTAGGTTGTACAGGAGGAGTTGGAGCATTATTTCTAATAAATAAATATTTATGAAATACAAATTTTACTTAAAGAAAAATTTTAACGACAAAGACTTTTATTCTTAATTTGATTCTATGATTTTTTAAGGTATCTCACCTAATCCATATTACAGGATATGGAATTTCTCTTATTATCGGTATATGCCTATAAATTCTTGTTTGATATAATAGATTTTCTTGATACAATAAATATCTTGGAAAACCAAAAATATTAACATGTGGATTCCATTGATGATTAGGCAAGTAAAAGAAATGGTGAAAAGGTAAAGCCATCAGTTGGCAATGTTAAGATTTTGTAATCAAATATCGATGATAACTATTAGCTCTTATAAGTAGATTATTCAAAGTCAATCGACAGAGTTGAATAAGATAAATCAAATATTGCTGTGTAAACATATCTATAGTTGTTATCTCCTTCAGTGAATCATAAACATCAAGATACGAAACAGTAATTATGATTCTTTTTATTTCTGTTTTTCTAATGAATAATTATATGATTACTAGTAAATGTTGTTGTTGTTTTTTTTTCGTTCTGTTTAACTAACTAGGAAACATTCACAATTAATCCTTTCTGTTTGCTTCGATATTTACTATTATGTATGAGATTAGTGGAGTAACGTAACCTCGAAAATGTTTCTATTCATGCTTAGACTTGGTCTAAACAATGACTTTTCAGTAGATTCTTCCTGCGCGAGTTCAGTTTTCGAGAAAAAAAAAGGAAAAACTTCGACCTGAAACTTTGTACATATTAAAGTTTCATCGATTTTAGATATTGCATTACTAAGATATGAAGATTTCAATATATCTACGTGTTTTCTTTAAGTGATCTATTGAAAAATCCATATATTAACGATGCAATAATCAAAATTGATGAAACTTTGAATAAAAACTTTTATTTTTTTTAAAAAATGAACTCCGACAAGACGAATTTACTAAATATTCTTTGTCTCGACTAAATCTAAATATTAGCAAAAAATCTCAGGAGATTACATTACTCTAGTAATCTGTCACATGTTGGCAAAATATGGAGACAAATGAATTGGGTCATTTGGGAATATATTCCTCGTATGACATAATAAATTGACTTACATCTTTTTTTGAATTAAATCACGAGGAGGACGTGGTTTTCCAGCATTTTTAGTTCGACGTTTTTTCGCTTGAATTGTACGTGCAAGAGCTATAGATAAATAATTAAAATATAATGATATTTTTCTTTTGTTTTCTATTATTCAAACACAAAAAAAAACTATTTACATGGAGCAGCATTTGAACTTGACGCTGCTTTTGGCATTTCGAGAATATTTGTATGTAAAAAGAAAACAAAGATATAAAGAGAATTATATGGTTACTAATTTGTTGTATATAGAAGGTTTTTTAATATATATCTGCATCGTTTGAATAGAAAAAGACAAACGAAAACAGTATAAGAAATAATCTTGAAAAAGAAAATTAAAATCGTAAATAATTTATTATTGTTGAAAATCAACTTCGCACTGTAGGAGTTTACACTTACGATGACTAATAATAAATAAACATAAAAACTGTCGTTGCAGTATAGTTTCGTTAGTTGATGACTTAACTGTTTTTTTTTTCTCTTGTGATAAAATAGCTATTCGTTTATGTAGCATATGACATATTAATGCATTTCCTTTCTGTTTTATGATTTGACAGTTAAAGTAACAACGAAATAGAGGTTGACGATGAAAGGAAAAGGAGTAATTCGAACCAATCAGACACGTCAATCATACAATGATGAGTCATGATAAATTGTGGAGACTATTTGTTTCTTATTTGTAATTTTAATTTATGAAAAAAGCTAAATATAATGAATGTATGAAGTCATTTTTTTAAATTTTATTTAGGATTAAACTTCTACTTAAAAATAACTTTACAAAGTAGATAATAAACTGTCAAAATCAAACAAAAGTGAATAGTGAAACTGTTTTTTTTGTCATCGATCAAAATCGTGTTTATTGTCAGTTACTAATTATTATGTAACTTGTAGGCCATAAATAATAGTATTATTTGTATTTCATGCTTTTCTCAGCTTGTCTTTTATTGTAGAAATGGTTGTTTAACGTTAAAAGATTCTAGTTTCAGTTCCCGATAAAATTACATTAAAACATTTAATTTTGACTTTCAATTTATTGAAGTGTCTGAATAATATTTCGCTTCTTCAATATGTATAAATTGTTAGAGTGGATTTTTTTTTCTTTCATCGGACGAACATAAAATATGTCAGAAAAAGTTTTAAAATGCAAACGTGAACCTCTTCAATTGCTCCCTTCCGATTTCAATGATTTTTTTCATCTATAGAGACTATATAATGTTCCAATCAAAATTTAAGTGTGTCTATTTTCTAGAAGTTCGTCTAGAAAAGTCGTATTTTTGAATTTTTATCTGAAATTTTATTCATATAGAAAACTCAACTAAGAAAAGAATAATTGAAATTCTGAAATACAAATAGTGTCATTATTTATTTTTAATGCTATACATCTGTTTATTCTAATGAAGTTGTGATATAAAGAAATACTTTCGGAAAAATTTTATTTACTAATGATAAAAGTGATTTTTATTTATTCTCACGATTTAAAGAAGTCTAATGAAAACCTATCGGAGAAAATGCAAACATCGAAAACAAAAAGAATTGTAAACTACTTATTTGACTTGTCTCATCCATACTCGTATGTTAAATAAATAAAACATATATATATATTTTTTTGATGATATCTTTCCAGATTTTTATTAGTTTTTATAGGTCAGGAACATGCCATGTTACTCTGAGTACACAGAATGTTTTAACGATAAACATGTGCAACTTATCTGAGAAAACTATAAATATATCTAATGAATTTTTGTGGAGGTATAATCTTACTATTTTGAGTTTTTTTTTCTTTGTTGACATGAAAAATTAGGAAATGAATCAGTTTCTTTACACTGCTCTAAGCATTCTGCAATGAACAATACCAAAACAAAAAAGGATTTAATTCCTTCTATTTCGTAATTTTTGTTACAGTCATACAAATATTCTTAAGACATACATGAATGTAGTTTTCTCAGCTAATTGCACATGTTTATCGTAGAAACTCTTCACGTAGTATGAATAGCATGACATATACTTAATGTATAAAAATAAAACCAAGTAATAAGAATCTGAAGAAGTAATAGAGAACAAAGAATAGATGTTCCATTTAATTGTCACGGAAGGATATTATTATTTCATGTCAAGTCAATTCAACATTTTTAAAACCCTCGTATTTATAATCATTCCGTCATAAAGTATATTCAACAACTAACTATCATTGGAATGGTAAATACCGCATTTTTACTCTTAGCATTAATGATATAATTTATAATCCCGGTTGAAATATCAAAGACGAGATGATTGACATAATTAATCTGCAAACATCTTTTCTTTCAGTTCGTTGTCATACACTGTCAAAGTTCCAACGTTTACTTAAATCAGTTTGTTTTTTGTAGCGAAACTTAGGCTTAAAAAAAAATGAGAAAAACCTATAAAAATTGAAATACACTGAAAGCATCAAGTCTCGCTATATGTAACTCTCGACAAACTCAATCCAACTATGATAAAAGAAAAAAAAATGTTTTACTCAAAATTTCAATTGTCTGCATCTTATATTTATTTTATTTTGAATAAACAAAAGCCAAAAAAACATTTATTGTTGTTCGCTTTTGTTTTGAAATTATAATTTTACAATTTTATCTTTTTCTTGAAGTTCTTCAAGATATTTGAGATTTTCTTTCGTTTCTAAATGATCATCTCCAAAAACAAGACGTGCAACTTCAACTGCTTTTGTAGCATATTTAATAGCATTGTTATTATCTCCAAGACCTTCATATGTTGTTGCTATATTAAAATAGGTTGATTCTAATTTTGGATGATATAATATAAGTGATTTTTCTTCCATTTCACGTGTTTTTTCATAATAAGTCAAAGCTTTTGAATAAAGTTTCATTGAATAATACATTCCAGCTATATTATAATATGTATCTGCCAACACAGGATGCATAGATGAAAAGTCTTTAAGTAAAATTTCAATTGCTTTTTCATAATTTTTTTGTGCTTCAGGATAATTTTTTTGTCGTTGAAGAATTCTACCAATATTATTATATTGTGAAATTATGTTTGGGTCATCAGATTTGTCAATTTTAACAGCATTTTGATATTGTTGTAATGCTCCATTAAAATCTTCTTTTCTTTCAAAAACAGAAGCAAGATTAACATATGTCGACAAAAGTGTTGGATGAATTGGTGGTAAATAAGTTAAATAAATTTCTATAGCTTGCTTATAATGACTTATAGACATTAATAAATTATCTTTTAAATCAAATGCATAACCAAGTTCATGTTGAAGAAAAGCACGTTCTTCATGTTGATTGTCATCTATTTGAGTAGATATATATTTATAAACATTTATTGCAATATCATATTTTTTCATATCCATCAGTAATTTACCTAATCTATACCATCCAGATGGACCATCGACTGAATCTTGTATACATTCAACAAGATTTTTTATTTCTTCATCTTTTTTAGTAGCCGGATATAAATTTATTTCATATAAATAGTCATGAATTTTTTCAATATTATCAATACGAAATATTGTATTCATTGATAATAAAATATCACCATCATTACTGGATAAATAACTTAAATTATTTAAAGCAATAAATGGAATTGATGTTGATACTGGATCGATCGTTATTTTATATATTATACCACGTGAATTCGAATCACGATGCACTGAATTAACAAACTTTAATGCCATATTTCGTTCAAGAGTAGTTGTTAGAAAATCATTAAATGATAATAGACATCCTTTACTTTTTTCTACGCGTTCAAATTCATTATTTGTCATAGATGTTGCTCGATAAATAATTATTGCACGATGTTGATGACTATGTGCCTGTGCATGAGATTTTCTAATATCTCTATGAAGATCTCGAATAAAAAATCCTAATCTATAAATAAGTTCAAAATCTTGACGATAAAATGCTTTTCTTAACATTGAATAAATAAAACATTTTCTTGTATACCACCATATAGGTGAATGAAGTGAATAACTTTCATCAAATGTATTAATAAGATTTAATTGTGATTCATTATTTAAATAAAATTTTCTAGAATAATCAATAAATTCTTGTCGAAATATTTTATCATATTCTACATTTATAAGAAGACTTTTCACCATTTGTAAATAAATAAATTCTTTATTTGAATCATTTATTTCAATTGTTGATGATACGGGAAGAATACTAATTGGTGTTAAACTTCTATCATAAAAACGAATATCTTTCTTAACTGCATCACAAAGTTCTTTTATTTTAGTATGAATACCTTTAATTTTGTTATATTGTTTTGCCCATTCTTCGTGACTAGCTTTATTTCCACAAAAAAGATAACTTGAATGAACTTGATCAAGATCTCCTATACGTGGTAATATTTGTCGACCCAGTGAACCAGATACAATAAGAAAAATTTTCTCATATTGAATTGAGTTCATAAAATCAAAACATTGATCTACATTATGAAATGTTTGAACTACATCCGTAACACGAAAAAATTGATTTACTAAGCTTTTAGTTGATTCTGTTGGTTTGTCTAATGAAGAATCAAGCCATACTAATATTGTATTTTCAACAAGACGTGGAAATTTTTCATCTGATAAAGGAGTTACTTTTTCTGTTCGATCAGGTATAGTGGTTGTATATATTGGAACATTTTTTCTACGACCACCTATTGAGATTTTCTCCGATTTCGTATAATCAAACGATGGTGGACCAATTATTTTAGAGGTTGTCTTTCCCATATCTTACTTTTGTGTTGACTACTTTTTTTTGTAATTAGTAAGTGTGTTTATCGGTCGTCATGCTTCAATGAAGTGTGAATCATGATTTTTCTCTTAATTAAATGACATAGCTCTTACACGTAGTAATCAAGAGCATAGCTATTGTAACGTTGCGTATGATCACGAAAAATATCTATAAGTCGAGTTCTACTCAATCGATTTTGATAATTTGTTTTTTGTTTTACTCATTTAAAAATGGTCGTTCGCTTCTGCAAAATAAGTCAAATTTCTATCTGTTTTAGTTTTTTGAGAAATCTTAGTAAAATGTGTCAGATATATAGCTTCTAACGTCACCTGTCGGGACGAAAGTCATTTTTTTTTTCTTAAGTATTTTTGCAGCTAGAGTTGTAGAACTTTTTAAGGATATGTCTTTATTTTTAACTTTAAATGAAGTTTTCTGAATGATAAATTATCAATAATAGGAGGTAACATTTCGGTTGAAGAACTTATTTTTTCAACGAATTACTTTAATATCAAAGTGAAATAGAAAGGAAATAATTTGAGAAGTAAAAGAGGTTTGTTTCTTAAAATTTGTTAATACAAAAAAAACTCCACGCTATATGTAGAGCAACTTTTTAAATTTTGCTATTGCTATAGCTCAATGAAAACTGAATCTTTTGCAATAAAAATGTAACTCTTTTTTAGCTCATATAATAGAGTAATTGTCAAAAAAAATCAAGTGAAAATATTTTTTCGTTCGAAAGATTATTTAGTTTTACTAACAAAGTGTAGAGCGACATTATTTGAACTAATTATAGACAAAGACCAAGTTCATATATAAAAATAGCACACAGAAATTGATTGTGTACCGAGAGCTGTTTAATAATATCGACATTTTCGTGCTCATATTACATTGGAAAAAGGTATCTAGCGTTTAAATTGGCAAGACTTTCAATAAAAAAATGCATTTCTCAGTTGCTATCATTAATAAACCTCGAAGCATCTTATGAATTTCATCAAAATAAGAGATTTGTATGTAGATAGAAACATCGACAGAAGGAAGTCTTGGAAAAATATTATTTACATACACATTCAATATTACTCTATCAAATACAAAACTTAGTTTTCTCCTCTTATTACACTTATTTTTAACGATCTTGTTTTCGTGAACAGTGCAATGACTGCACTCTTCACTCCTGTGCATGAAAGAAAGATGCTCATTCGCACCAGTATTTCAAAGTCGTCTTTATTTGAATATTGTTTTCTATATTTAGGATTTTTGTATATAAATGTTGTTGTACCTCGACTAATTTGTTTTTATATTGCAATAACACTTAGATAATGTGTTCCAGTTTGAGAAAAAAACCGATGATATATATATATACTAATGTCCTGCGTCAGTATGAAGAATTGTGGGACCACCTTTTTTTGATCGGGGCTTCGGCTGGAATTATTTTTAGGGTCAATTTCGACTCCACCGGGACTGATTTATAGTTCCCTACATAAAGACTATATCCGTTACAAAAAATGAAGAGTTGTTACGATTTTAATACATATACTTTCTCTTATTGTTTTGAAATTCTCCATGTTTATTTGTTGACCAGCTCGTTGTATTCTAATATATTTGAAATAAAAATAGCTTAATTGCTGTTTGAGAATGAAAGAAACAATTCCTAAACACGAATTCTATTTTTTACTGAAATAAAATTTTATGGAACACGCTAAAATATATTCTATAGATGGTTCCTCATTATCTGTACATGAATTTTCATTACAAAACGAATTAGTTTAGTAAAACAATATCACTTTCTACTTTGTCCGGCTATCAGATAATACTCGAGTCACGAAACGATTCGGACCGGACCGAGTGTCGAATCTTCGATTTGGTTGCAGAATACTAACATGTAGTAACAAAAATGTCCAGTGAACTCTATAAATTACAGTTAGTTAAAAGTAAAATTGAAAGTATAAGTTTGCTTAAAATTGTTATGAGTAAATTTCTACGAATTTAAAAACTTTGGAATATTGGCAAATAAGAAGACACAACCAAAAAGAAACAAATCGGAAAAACCAGCAAGTGTTCACAACAGAGAGGTTTTACTGTATATCGGTTGTAGTAAAAGTGTGACGATATGTTTTGTTTTGGATGTAACTCTGTTCCGAAACATAATAAAACACTCATCTTTTTCTTCAAAAAGATGTGCCATTGAATGTTCTACTTCGATCACAGGATCAAATATTTATAGCTATTTTCGAAATTTGAATAGACTGATAACACTGAACACGTGTAATTTCCTACAAGACCATAGAAGAGAAAGCCGAGATTTGTTGAATTTTGGTTTCGATAGTTATTTTGTATTTCGAGACTTATTGTGACCTTCAAAGCATGAGGATTACTATTCGTCTTCATCTTACATACAAATCAAAAATAATATCTGTACCAATTGATCTGGATCCTTCGTCCTGAAGTAAAACGTCTTTTTTTTTGTATTGCTCTCAAATAGATCATCTAGAAGTAGTCAGTTCGATGCACAAATCGCTAGATTAAAATTTCTCGACTATTGAAAGCAATAGTAAAAAACAAGAATTAAGCTTAATAAAATAATAAAATGAGAACTTTACCATAATTAAAGATGCTGAAAATACGTCGAGAAGAAATTGATTCGTACGGATCTCGTAGGAAGTATCGATTGAGTGATGAACATTTTTTTTACAATGCTTGGGACAGTTCATTTTTACCCTAACATTAATTTGATTATCCAGTATTAGGGAAAATAACTATAAAGATTTGCCCGTGTGATCCGAGTCGAATATTCAATAACACAACTTTTGAAGAAAACCGATCAATATTTTATCATGTTCCTGAACAGAGTTATACGCAATACGATCGAACTCGAGTCACACTCTAATATCAATTACATTAGTCTCTTTCTCTTGAGAAAATCCATTTCACAATTCTTCTTTTTTTCTTGCTTTTATTTCGTAGTTGGAAAGAAAAGATATGTCCCTGACCTCGTTTCATCCTTGATATTTCGAAGTTAGAACAACATGATTATGTGATAGAATTTTTTCTTGCTTATCTTTTTTTTGCTTATGCACACAACCTACAACGTTTATATCACCATTGACCAGACAGTGCACCGGTTATGCATTGTTGTCTGATGGCAATAAAGAAAAGTCAGCGAAGTAGAAGAAAAGATCGTGCGATATATGACTTCTTGTTTTACTAAGATTTTTGCATGCTCTCTTATAGAACTTTTAAATAAAGAAAACTACATTCAAAATACCTTTTGTATCTACAAAAAATGCTCAGATGGCAGATCCATTCTGAAGTCGAAAAAAACTTTTTTTTTTTCCGTAACTCAATCTCAGTCAAGCATTTCCTAATATACAACAATAGAGAAGAAAAATAAATAACAGAAAATATTATCACATAATCTTCTCATTGGAATTACGTAATATCGACGAGTATATTGTACGCTCATTTAGTCTCGATCAAATGTTTCACCACACAATAGTAATTAACAACTTTTTCCTAATGTCATTAAATATAATGAAATATAAACAAAGAAAAAAACAATCTAGATAAAACAAAATAGGCAGCTGTCTCAAGCAAGATGAATATTGATGTTCATTTTTTTTCATTTTACAACTTTGAAAAAATTTCGATTTTTCTTATTTGTTTACTAGACGAATGTTCAAATTGTTTATACAACAGACCAACAATTTTGATCAATAAAATTATACATCTCAAATGAGTCTTGACATAAACAATCATAAAAAATAAAATCATTTGAAATAAACATTTAATTAAAATATATTAAACTGAAACAAGTTTATTTCTTAATTTATTATTAACCAACAGAAATAATTAACTGTACAGTAGAATATGCTTGCTAACTTTCTTGATGAAGAAAAGAAACAAATAAAATGAAGTCAATTTCTCTGTACAGCTTTCTTTTATTTTTCTTTTCATCACCATCCAGCTGCTGCACGTTGATGATGATCACGATCAACTGAACCATTATGATCATCAATTATATATTTTGCTGTATGATTAGCATAAATATCATTTAAATTTGTTGGACCTGTTTGTTGTTGAGTAGCTGCTGCTGGTAATTGTGCATATGAAAATGTTTGTCCAGGACCTGCTGCATATATATATGATGGTTGGTCAATTGTTGGTGTTGTAGCATAAGTTAATTCATAATATGATGGTGTACCTGTTGATTGATTTTGTGTTCCATGAATACCTCCATTTAATGTTGTAGTTATTGTTTGATTTGGTATTAATGTACTAAGTGTTTGTGGAGTTGTAGCCGTAGCTAATAATGTTGTTGGTGGTTGTTGTTGATAATAGATAGGTTGAATACTGGGGAAAAAAAAAAGAAAAACGAAAAAAAGATTTATCCAGATGTGCACATAGTCAAGAATAGATTTGTTTATCTGAGCATGTCATTATTGTATATGTATATATATATAGAATAAAAGCTTTCATTAAATTTATTTGATTGCTCAAGGGAGTTTACTGTTCTGTTTCTTTAAATTTAAGATTAATTTGATTTCTTTAAAGGAAGGCAGATTCACTTTCTTCTCTCTTCCTATATATATATATATATATACAAAGAAAAAAGAAAAATAAATCGAAATATACTCACCCATAAGTAGTTGGTAATGCTGCTGAATATGCTCCAGCAAGATGAAGTGGAATCAAACCTAAAAATAATAAATCACTTTAATAAATATATAAAAATAAACAATCAATAAAATTGATTTGTTGCAATAACAACAATCGTAAATGAAACGCTAAAGGCATACACATCACACATACACGATCTTGTAGTTTGTTGTCATTTCATATATTTCAATATTTATAAAGAATCGAATTTCGTTTGAAGAAAAAAAGAAAAATTTTCTTTCTTTTTGTATCGTCATCATTGCATTTGTTCTTGTGTATATTCAGCTATCAAATGACTAAGAGATGAAAAAAAAACGAAAGCACTGAGAACACACGAAAGCGAGCATATAGAGAAGAAAATGAGTAGGAGCACCAACACAACAACATCAATGTCAAACACTTGAAACACAGAAAAATATATATATATATATATATGTATAAGAGATCCCATGCCACAATGGTCTGGGTATGGTTATTATTGTTTTGTTAATTTAATTTAATTTGATGTATTAGGTTAAGTTGAAAAAAAAAAAACAACAATAGATAAAAAAAATAAAGAAAACATCAAGTAACTGGCACAAACTACAGCGTCATCCAGAGCATCCACTTACTGTCGTTTTATTTTTCCTCATGCTGCTTGTACTACAATTAATGAGGAGAGGATAGTTTGGTAAGTTATATGTATGTATACATATGTGTGTGTATGATTTATTTTTATAGATAGATATTTTGAAGAATAAATTATGAAAAAAGAAAATGTATGAAATTCTTACCAGCTGGTGTTGGGATGACGCGTGGTTTAGCACCAAGATAAGCTAAATTAACATTTGCTTTACGACCATCAATAACAGGATTGGCTTCTCTTGTTGCTAAACTTGCAGCTTCTTGAGTATTCATTGTTACCTTAGAATAAGAGAAATAAATTCTAATTATTGAATATAAAATTTTACTAATTGAAACAATTGAAAAGTGATCAAAGAAAAATAAAAGAAACTCTTAATTGATCTCTTAGCCTTTATTTTTTATATTAATTAAATATCTAACAAATTTCCATTACATTATTTGTACAAAGTTGAAAAAATAGGAGAACATTCATATTAGTAGTATTATTCATACTTAGACTTCTGTTCTGATTGATGGCATGCAAATGATAAGAGAAGCAAAAAAGAAACGATTATCTTTTAAGACGGAAAAATCCCATATGTGTATGTACGCACAAGCGGACAATCATCATCATCATCATTCCTCAATATGAATATACATACGCGTGTCTATAATCAAACTTTTTTACTCACAAATCCATAACCACGTGATTTGCCTGTTTGTCTATCAGTAATAACCTAATTTAAAAAAAAAAAGAAATTAATTATTATTATAATACAGAATGAAATTACATACTACTGCTTCTTCAATTTCACCAAAACGTTCAAAAAATTTCCTTAATGTTTCGTCAGTTGTATGATATGGTAAACCACCAACGAAAATTTCTAATTATGTTGAAGAAATTTTGTTTTTTTTATTTGTTAATGAAAAATAAATAAAAGCAAAAAAAGTCTTACTTGTAAATGTTGTATCTTTATGTAGTAATGACATGGATGTAAATACTTGAATAAAATATAAAAAAAAAAGATTTTGTTTTGTTTTTTTTTTTTAAGGTAATTTTTCTTTTTCGAAATATGTCAACAAAACTATGCCACTCTCTTCTTCTCTCTTTTAAAAAGCCATACAGAATGAAGATGAAGAACAGAATAAAGTAAAAACGGATATCGACTAATTCATCACTAGAGAGTATATTTGTGATATGAGATGAGAAAAAAATGTGCTTCATTAGCGGAAGGAACCAATCATTAGCATACGATCGTTCTGGAAAAAAAAAACGACGACGACGAAGAAGAAGAAGAAGACATTGTACAGTTATCTCTCGTCTTCTTTTTTTTTCTTTCGACTTGCGTTCGTTCATGGATTAAATAGAAACATAACCAACGTATAAACAATATATTTCTGTTCCTTGGCGAATCAGAATGTCTTTTCTTTTTTTTTTGCCATATATCTCTGTATATCTTGGTAGTAACAGCAGGAGGGATAAAATTGATGATATGGAAAGGAAGGAAAACGACCTTTTGCTATTCGACGCCCTCCAACTGTTTGTTCTTTTATTTGTACACATGCGATATACATGAATCAATATACATGCCGAAAGTCAGAGAAATATTACACCTACGAGTATAATTGGAAAACAAAATAAACATAATGATTTATAGAGTGAATATTTAGTAAACATCATTGTCAAGGTTTCATATAAACTACTATTAGGTTCATTCGAATTGTATCAAAAAAATTTTGTATTATTGAACATGACTATTTTATTTAAACGATATTCTACTGAATTTTGTATGTCTATAGAGACAGCCTTAGGCTTTTTTTATTTAATTTTTTTTTATCGTTTGAGATATAAAGATATGATAAAAGATATGAATTAATAAATGAAATATCTACATAAGTTTACTTTAAATTGAACAATGTTTTCTTTATAATGAGATAAGACGAATAACAAAACAATCATATTTGTTTGTTATATAATTAACAACATAACATAATTTCTTTGTTGATTCATTGATATTTGCCATATGTTATTTCGAATTATGCTATATATTCAGATCAATATTCTGCTCGATTGATCTATCAATGGAAGTAGCATTTTTTTTTCGCAGTTTATACCGTACTCGTCGTTGGTTTTTCTTTTGTTTAACTACTTTTTGGTTGTAAGATAACACAATCAGACATTGAACTTATTCATATTAACAAAAAAAACGAATCAATTTTCAAAAGTTGTTTTCTTTTTTGTTTGAAATAAGCATGATTTTTGGAATTATCATGCAAAAATACAAATTTTTAATCGATGAGAGTACAACCCAAAGTTTTACGAATAAAAAGCTCAAAAAGAATATAGAGTTTCTCATGTATTTTTGCATGTTGATTCGAAAAATATGTTTATTTCCAATCAAAAAATAAATTTTTGATAATCAAAATCTAGGAATATCAGCCGAATTTTCAGTATTTTACGTGAAAATGATTCTATTGTAAAAATAATAATTTCTTCACAATGAAAAGTTCAAGGTCTGGGCCAGAAATTTTTATATCATAATACAAACCGCGACGTAAAAAGTAATGAAACAAAAATAAATTGATTGGAAGTATATAGATCCTTTTCTTTAACCTTTTACCCCCCGGCACTAATCCAGTGGAGCTGTTGTTGAGTCGACTATGGAAATAGCTTATATAAGTGCTCAATATGACATTGGTAGGGTTAAATTTGAACGAAGTCATTTCACTGTGGAGATGTAGAATGGGTCATTTTTAACCCATCGGGGTTGAATGACATAAAAATCGGATTTTTTGTTGATCTAATTTTTTCATAGTTTTTCACAATTTTGTGTTTATTTTATTTGTATAAAGCTGGAAACATATCTATCATGAATTATTTTCTGAAAAATGTGCCATAATGGAGATAACATATGTTTAGACATCGGTAAAGATGACTGTTTTGGGCTGTGATTAGGTCTTTTATTTCGAGAATCGTATCGGAATCGTTAGTAATCATTTTCTTTTCGTAATACGGAATCATCGGNATAAGTTATAAAGCAACACATATTCGAACAAATGCTATATGTTATTTAAAACGAATAATGGGTATTTTAAAAAAAAATCTTTTTCATTCGTTTTCGTCGATGAAATATTAACTTTTTTTTTGTTTGAATAAAGGTTGTAAATTACCAGTCTCTATTTTCTTTGCAAATATATGTAAGTTAGGATTTAATACCTAGATTTTGCACGTCCTGCTTTTGAATCTCCATCAACAAGTATTCTTGACAAATGTAAACAGCGACAAGAAAGTGATGGTGCATGTAATGTTCGAATTAATGATGATATCTGTACAACATATTCCCAAATAAGTGCTTCAGCTAATAAACCTGTTTGATTAGTTCCTTAAATATAAATTATTTCATAAATAAAAAAAGTAATGAAATAATAATATTTAAATACCTTTTCCTGCACTAAATGGACGATCTTCACCAGATATATTATACGGATTTGACCAACCTTTTAATAGATTATTGTTTGAACTGAAATGACGTTTTTGTAATGTTTCACAACATGGTATAAAATCATAAACAAAAACGATAGCTACAAATTGAATAAATCATTTTTAAAATAAAAACAAAAAAAAACAAAACAAAATAAATACAAGGTTGATCATCATTAAAATCTTTTGTTAGAAAAACTTCACGTAATTGTGCAATATTAGCATGAATTATTTTTTTCCATGTTTCAACAACTTCATATAAACGGACTGTTGGTAATTTACAACCTTTATTCAAACAAAAAAAAAGTTAATATTTCATCGACGAAAACGAATGAAAAAGATTTTTTTTTAAAATACCCATTATTCGTTTTAAATAACATATAGCATTTGTTCGAATATGTGTTGCTTTATAACTTATTGTTTGATAACGAAAAGTTCGTGATTTATGCGGAACATTTGCTTGACTACTATCAAGTGGCATTAAGTTATAATAATCACCTACTCGTTCTGGCATAGCTAGAATTAATATTTAATAAAAGTTTTCCAAATTTATAAATAAATGATTAGAAAGTTTTTAGACAAGATATTTATTCACATTTGACTCGCGAGAGAAAATATCTTCCAGGAATCAAAAGCTATGAGTTAGGATCAGAATTTCGTCTTAGTTTTCGTTCGAGGGTAGTATAATAATCTTTGAAAGCCCATATTTCAAATTCTGATCGTGATCTATAGTTTATGACATGTCGAAAACCCTTTCAAATGAGTTAAAAATGAACACATATTTTGTCTCATTAATGTTAAGTTTCTTCTTACCTGCTGCTACATCAAGATTTGCACATGCAGTTAACATCTGATTACGCCTGAGTAGTTCAGCTCTATTAAAAATAAAATATTTAACTTATGTAACAAGAAAACATTTAGCTTATTTTTTACCTCAATTCATCACTCATAAAATATGCAAAATCAGGTCGAGCTTGCCGGACCGATGACATATCAGGTGGTACTGTACGTTCTTTTTCTTCATGATGATTCGAACCACTTATTAATAGATCATCATCAGTCAATTGTTGCATCTATATATATATGTAGGTTGTAGACATATTTTAGAATTCAACTAAAGATAAATTCCTTGTAATCACGTGTTTCACCAGAAGTAAAGCGGAATTGCTATTTTTGTTTTGACACTAAGGTATATTTTCAGAAAGTCATTCGATAGAGAAGTTTTTACTCTACAATAAACGTAGAATTTGTTTTCCAAGTAAGTTTGTATCTTTGTTGAAGAAAAATTTTAACTGTTAACATTTAAACGTCTATCTGGGATGATAAAAAAAATGATGTAAACTGTCTTTAACAATGGTTTTCTGAAATACTAAACATTCCATCAAACTCTACATCTTTTGATATGTTTTAGAATTTCAGAAAAAATGACAGGATTACGTGCTTGTTCTTTTTATTTCGACACAACGCAGCCGTTTGTACACTTTAAATTAACAGTCGTAACATTTTGTTTAGAATTAAATTCCACTTTCGACAGTACCAGAATGCCTATTGCATAACATTAAGTCTTACTTAGAAAAACATGTTTTTTTCCGACATGTGTAAAAAAAAATATCAGTACTTTTTAGTTCCAAACTTTTATTCTCATGAATGCAAGCATCAAGATGTTTGAAAAGGTTACAAAAACGAAAAATACATAATTCTCTATCCATGGATACTAACTTCATTACTTTTCGAATTGTTCCTCATGAGCGAGGACTTACACATATCGATGATACATAGAGATAATCGTCGTTAGACGATTAAACATACGTTCATATTTTAAATTCCTCTATCGAATGATTTTCTGAAAATATATCGGAATGATCCAAAAAAAGAAAATGATATTGTCGCATTATCAACTAATAAAAAAAAATGTTTAACTCGGATTTAACAACCAATCGCACATGCAATTGTAAAGATAAGTACGCTTTAAAATAATGTTTGTATTAATAAAAAAAAAAGGAAGTTTATTTTTCCGCAAAAATGCCATTGAAAATGATATGGATATACAAATATTGTTATTCTATTCAGATTTTAATTTTATGAATTTATCTTTAGTTGAATTTTAATTTTGTTTAAAATAAAAATAATCAATTTTACACTATATGGTGCCGCTTGTGAATAAGCATAAAAATCCAGATTATTATCTGGAGATATACGTGCACTATTGTCCAAGGCTGCTGCATCGACTAGAAGAAATAAAAAAAATTTACAAAAGAAAAAAGAAAAGTGCATGCAAGAAAAGAAAAAGAAAAACATGCGCAATCTGTATATTTTTTTTTTGTACAACAGATCATACTTGTCGTTTGTAAGCTTTTGCGTACTGAAACATGCAGAAGCAAAACAGTGTACATTCACAACAAGAAATAATCTGCAATTAGAAATAAATATTTATCATTTAGGTACTTACCATGACTGGAAACAGGTCCAAGACTACTGAATGGTCCATTAACTCCAAGATGAGTTAAACGTGATGTACCCAGCATAGTATTAGGCTAAAAACAATTCATACATGAATTTATTTTAATCGACATTAAATAAATATTGCTATTAAGCTTTTATTTTAGATATATTTGAGTAATAAAGGATGTCTCTCAACTTCATCTTTGCCGCGTTCAATGGCGGAGAGATATTGAATATATATGTATTTGAATAGTATCAATAAGAACTAAATTGCATTCACTATAAGAGAGAACTATATCGATAAAAATTTTATTAAAGTCATTTTTGGTTCCATTTTTATTATATGTTTATTATGAAGATATAAAAACGATGATTACATCTAATGTCCGCGCCAGAATAAAAGAGGGGTGAGTGTAAGCTCAATAACTCGACAATCGCAATACCTAGCTACCTGCTGTTTTCACCAATCGAAAGAGGACGAGCGGGCACGTCTTTTTCTTCGATAATGTATAAGACGAAATTCTTTTAAAACTAATGATATTTGAAAAACATGCAAAACAACTCATGAAAATGACCTGTCAGCTAGATGAAATTTTGATTTTGATCTTCGATTTAGATAGAGGGACTTGAGATCTACAGTTCAAGACACAATGCGCTTTCTTACTTTTTCTTACATTTTCATCGAAATGTCAAGCTACTCGGATAAAAGTGCGAAAACTTAGTAAAAAAATCAGCAAAATTTCCTATTATTTGCGCATGTAGGTACATGATTCCATTTGCTCAACGTTAGAATGTAGTAAGACATTCATTTGCATTGTATCTTGAACTATAGATCTCAAGTACGTCTATCTAAATCGAAGGTCAAAATCAAAATTTCATCTAGCTGACAGGTCATTTTCATGAGTTGTTTTGCATGTTTTTCAAATATCATTAGTTTTAAAAGAATTTCGTCTTATACATTATCGAAGAAAAAGACGTGCCCGCTCCTCCTCTTTCGATTGGTGAAAACCGCAGGTAGCTAGGTATTGCGATTGTCGAGTTATTGAGCTTACACTCACCCCTCTTTTATTTTGGCGCGGACATTAGTTTACTATTAAAATCAATAATAATAATAATAATGTTAATAATGACAACTACCAGTCGGATGTGGACATAAGTGAAGGAAAGACTCTCAGACTTCCATCAGAGGTCATCATCAGGACTGAGCGCAGGACACCATAGTTTTGTCAAGCGTTTTTAAAAATCTTTTCTAATCAACAGAAGAAATTTTCCAGAATATCTTGAAAATTAGAAGATAAAAAAACAAAACATAAGTTTTAGATCAGACTATTCTATCATAAAAATAGTGTCACCTCAATAGATTTGAAATAACCTAAATAAGATATAAATATTGAATATTAATAAACGATCAGAATTTTTCATAAGATTATCAATGTATTCCATAGTTGAGCTCATTTTATATGTCTTGCCCTGAACATAGGACAAAGTAATAGAATAACAAACGGTCAAAAAAAAAATCCTTTGACTTTCACTCGACGGCTGGTTATCATTGATATTATACATTCAAAATAGACAGAGAGCAAAACTGACATTCATAAAATCTTTATTAATGTAGTTCTCTCTTCGGATAGATGCAGTTTCTTTTTTCTTTATTGATAACTTAGATGTTGTTACTCAAATATATCCATTCAATATCTGTCTACTATTTAATACGACAAATATAGAGAATAAAAATAAAAACGAGGTCGAAACTTATGAAACATTCTTTATAATGATTACACGCAACTATAATTATAATATTAAAGTATTCAAATTATTGAATAGTAATCAGATGCATAGTTTAGTTTTAGACTCCTGCTATATATTTCGTCAATCTTATAATATTCTGATGTTATACTAATTTGAGATTTGCATTACAAAATAACTAATATTGAATGCTTTATTTTTAATCCTATGATATCATACATTTCTTTGTCTGTATCAATTGATAAATCTTAACTGAGACTATCTACACTAATATAACTGCTATTGTACAGATTTTTACCTAGTTTTATTAGTAAATATTGAACAAACTCATTTGCTCTGAACAAAAAAAAAATATGGATAAATAACAAAATTAATATCAAACTAACTGTGCAAGTCGTGATTCAATATTCTAACTATTAAATGAAACTTAAGTGACAATGAACTGTCAAACTAAACTTTTAAAAAAAAATAAAAAAGTTTTCATACAATTCAAATAATTGATTGTATTGAATATAACTATTTTAAACTGTTTACCGTACTAATTCGAAGTATTTACCTCTCCTATCATTACAGCATTTAAAATAGCCGTGATATAATCTATCTATTCAAATCAAATCCTTCAAATTCTCACATGTGAATATTTGTTCTGTGCTGAATGTGAATGTAAATCAGTTAAATAAGCATTAGAATTGCTGTTATTAGGACCACTAACATTATTAGTCATTGGTGCATCACGTGCCATCATTGATGGTTGAGAATAACTTGAATTATTATAATAAACTGCTGGATTACGTGGTGGTGTCATAAATGTTCTTCCCTAAAAGAATTAAATTAAAAATTTACAAATAATTAATTTCTTTTCGTTTTTTTTTTTCTTTTACTTGTTGAAATGGTGCAACTCCATATGGATCTCCATCGAAGGCACCGTTTGAAATCATATTTTATTTTCTATGTATTAATATATGTCTTTTTCAATTCTATCTATCGTTTGTACATTCGTCACCGGTGGTATGGAATCTCAGCCGACAAAACAGGAGCAAATAAGTGAAACAATAGCAAATGTCGTATGATTGGTCATCTAGTTTTTTGCCGAGGCTAGACATGGATTTGATATTAGTAGATGGAGAAAATTATTTTCTATCGAACTGTGTTTTTGGTTTTTCTCGAAAAAAAAATTAAGTGAAAATAGAGGTCGTTACCATACAGTACTGATATAGCTGTCATAGGAAAATAGAATATCAAATATTGCTAATTCATTTCTCTCATATTTATCATTTCGCTACTGTTTTTACATATAAATATAGCTAGGTCTAGTCTCAGTTGGTGTAGGGTTTATCTTCAAAAAATTCATCATAGAAGTGTTTTGTTTTAAAAATCAAACCATTTTTACTGATGTCAAGAACTATTTCTACTAGAAAACATGCATTAGAATGTTCTTCTTAGTTAAACATTCATCAAAATACGTCCAATATATTATATCAATATATCAATTCATTTAGATATTGAGTTATAATATCGAAACAAAATGGAATCATTGTTCGTCATTATCATTTATCATCTATCTATTTTGATTTCGTATTATTTGAATTATATCTTTCGTAGAAACATTCAGAATTCTAATGTCTGACAAACATTTAATTAGTGTACAAAGCTAATATAGAATTTTGTAGTCCTATGAAATTATCTGTCTATCATCAGATGCTGAGAGAAACAAAACTTAAGAAAACAGATAGTCAAGAAAAAACTTTCAACGTAATCCTTACGAGATTAAAATATAAAACACAATGAAACTGTTTTAACCATATTGAAGAAAATCTCGTCATCTATACTTCAACACTTATTAACGATAGTGTTTCACAAAAGTACTGTAAAAGTGAAACAGAAGCCTCATATTATTTCTGTATTGTGTTCAAAGGTAGGTATGACTAATCGAGAAGTTCATTTGATGGTTATAAGATGACAAAAAGTGAAAATGACTCATATCGACCGATCTAATTAGGCAATGAAAAATCCCTACCGGTTGTAACTCTAGTTCTTATATGAAAGTAACACCATAGGTACGAGAAAATTGCTCTTTTGCACTTAATTATGCAGAAAAATATATAAAATAAACACTTGTTATTAGAAAATACTTCGAATTGAACATTCAATTTTGAACGTAAGAACAGTATATGAGAAACACCGTATAATTGAAAAATTTTTTAAAACTGATCTTTAATGACCAGTAAAATGTAATATATTGCTTGTTTTCGTTATTACACTATGGAACAGTAGGTGCTAGCTGTACTTTATGTAACTTACATACTTGCTGCAGCTGTTGAAGAAAAAGAAACGAATTCTTAGTACTATCGACTGACTTATATATATATGACTAAACAATGACTCTATAGTCGCCATAGTTTAAATGATTTTCTATGAAATTGAAATTCATTTTCAAGCATATTTAAAAGTTTTTCCTCGTTTTTCAATTCATTTAAAAATAATTTTTCCAAAAAAAGTCGAATCGATATTCTACATTGAAGAAAAATCAAGCATTTTCTGAAAATTATAAAATTATTGTGCCATTAATAGTAATTTGAAAAGCGTTTTAATTCTTTCATTTCTTTGTCACATCAACATTGTTCTTCATGAATTTTTTCTTCCCTTTCAATTATTCAGATCTTTGCATATTTGAAACGAGTATGTTGCATCTGTTTCCCACAAAGAATGCATGGAATAAGTTTTGAGGGCTACAACGTTGCTAAAGCAATATAATATAGCAATAGACAAGAGAAGAGAGTTTGTGTCTTTGAACATCAAAGAAAGAAGGATAATGCCATTGATTTATCATATTTAAAGTAAGACAAGGAATTGATTTTATTATATAAATCTTCCAATTTCTTTAAAAAGTGAAATTGTCATACATCGTTCATTCTCAACTACAGACAAAATATATTTATTAACAGTCGACAACAGAATACTGTTATTTTGATTATCTGAAGCGTGTGGTTAAATAAAATGAGAATGATCAAAAAGAAAAATAATAATAATAAAATCATGAGATTATTAGGAATGACAGATCAAGGAAAAAACGGTTATGGAAAGTACTGTTTAATACACCATACAATAATTATTATGAGAAAAGATTTTGATTTCGAATATACCATTTACCAAAGTGGGCCACTGGATTTACCACCGGGTGGATGACATACACGAACGCTCGTATGCACATTCTGAAATAAAAACATTAATAAGCGTTTTAATATAGAAATAAATGTACATTGAAAAAAAACAAGTCAAAAACTGTTCTCAGGACACAAAATTGTCCACATTTTTGTCTATTTCAGACAGGTAAACGGTGTAGAAATCATCATTGAGCAATTATTTTCTATCACTTTGATTCGAATTATTGCCATTCAATTAAATATTTCCTTACCTTTTGAGCGTTATTCCCATCATTAGTATTATCTGGTTTCTCCACTGTTTTTTTAATATTATTATTGTCAGCTGAATTCGTTGATGTTGCTTGAGCATTATCATGCTCTCCTTCACTTGTTTTAGTTGGTAAAACTGTTTGTTTGTCATTTTCAGTAGTTTTTGAATTTATATTGTCTTTTGTTGAATAGTATTCACCATTAATTGGATTATATCCCGCTGTAATAAATAGAAAATAAATCAGTCAAAAATTCAAAACAGAAAATTATATTTTGTAGCAGAAAAACTTAAGCAAAGTATTAAATTATAAATTATTTCAAAAATGAAGCATCCAAGATCATGATTCTGTTTCATCTCAAAATTAATGTTCTTTCTCTTCGAGGCAAACTATGATTGAACAAATACAACAAAGCAATAGGCATTTACATGAATACAATTGAAGCTTGATGGACAATAGACGCCTAAATAAAAGCATCATGCGTTAAGGTCTTGTTCATTTGTCAATACACGAAAATAACAAAGTCATCAAGTAAGTGATACACACAACAGAGAAAAGAAAGGGATATCTGTATTTAGCACACAGTGTGAGAAAGTAAAGTTTAGTAACATGTCTAGGAGAAATGGAAAAATATAATACACTTCTCTCTTCTCTTTTCTTTAGTTAGAAAATCAAACATGAACAACAAAAAAGAAACAGCAGACTCACTGCGTGATGCATTGGGATCTAAATATAACATTTGATAATTTTCAATCTCCATAGCAACGACATTTTTATGCTAATAGATAATTGTCTGTCATCATTATTTATTAGTTTTAACTTACCTCGTAAACCTTGTCGAACACCTGATTGACGTTTATTTTGTTCATCATCATCGGCATTACCAAAGACATTTGACCTATTTTTATTCGAAACAGAACGTACTGGTGCTGGTTCATCCGTTCCAAAAATATTTGATTTCATTTGTGTTTGTTTATATTGACTAGCCATAGTTGCAGCATTCGCATGTGTTTCTTCAGGATTAGTACCAAAGATATTATTACTATGACCACCCGGTGGTGCATGAAGACTATAAAATATATATGAAGAGAGAAAGTTGAAAACAAACAAAGATCATATACCGAATTGATGGATGATCTTTTGATGGATTCGACATTATGAATAAGGCTTTTTTGCTTTAGTTCTATATAAAAATTGAACAGTTTATTCTCAGATACTACAGAAGATAAATAACCTTTGATTTGATGTACTGAAAGAAAGAAAATGGCGTCAATAAATTGTTAAGGTTGCCATTGAACCAAAAAACTAAACCCTTTTAAATAGGGATCAACACATTCTTTTTCTGAATTAAAAAGTTGAATTGTAGAAAAAATATTCTTTTCATAATGATTTTGTTTTTCAAGTTATTATACTATGATCAGATAGAATAAGAAAAACATCAATTAATATACAATAGATGTCGCGACACTATGGTGTGGGATGTGAATCCGAGTTGATGTGGCTTCATCTTATATTAATCCACACCCACACCCATAGCGCTTTCTGCATTCGCAACGCTAACATACAATCAAACGTTCCTTTGGAAATCTACGAAGACAATCAAGCAAGAATAATCAAAGCTACTGGCATCAATCACAATGTTCTGAAATTTTCACGTATACAAACTTTAATGAAAGAAAGAAGCCGACTTCATCATTCGTACGTTACTACTTGAAAGAAGTTTCCTTGACTTTTGTGTAACCGAAAACGACATCAAACATAGTTTCAATTGGTGTTCTCACTCTACTGTTAACATTTACAAACTAGAAATATGCAGTTCGATTGCTTTCGTATGTTTGAATATTCCTGATAACAGTTTTCTTCTTACATCTTCTCAGATCATCGAATTTTGCAACCTCTTTCTTCTTTATCCTATCAGCTGCTCTCTCAATGCGTCTTACAGAAAAGAAGAAAATAAATAAAACGGCTGGACAAAATCGACTATGGTCAGTTCTATCATTGTAGGGGACAAACACAGCAGTCAAATATCTGATCCATATTTCAAGCATATATGACAATTCAACAGCTGCACAACATATTTAGTGGAATTTCACACGCGTTGGTGATTCCTGGCGAAATAATCAAAACGGACGATGGATATATGAAGACAATATTTTTAATTTTACAAAATCAGTCATGTTACAAACTGGATCGAGGTCGATCATTAGGTAGTGTGAGCAAGAAGACATTTATTACATTGAAATCTTATTATGATTGCGTCATTTATGTCAATGATTTGAATCCTCGATTTGATGAGCTTCTGCATGAATGAGATACTAGTCTGATATTACGTTTGGACGAAATCACTGCCCTAGTCAAACATCTTGTAAGCAAGATCTTGAAATCTTGGGATTGGTAAGCAAGATCTTATCAAGATCTTGAAAAGATAATTTGTATGTACACATCTTGGTTGTATCAAATAAATCAGTAACTAAGATCTCGGCAAGATCTTGAGTAAAACAAATAGCGACATCATTAGTGTATTTACATGCTGACTAGTCATTCACCGTTTTTTTATGCACACAGAGCTGTATATAAACAACATGCTTGAACATACAAGACATAAATTTTCAAATTTTTTTTTTTCAAAATTATTTCTCGACTATTAATTATTCGAGAAAATGCTGATCTCGATTGATGATCGAGAGAGGACTACCCTGAAGTGGTCTGACTGATGTCGGGCCAATACAAAGCTAGTCAGGTTCCAACATCTGACTCGCNGGACGACATAGGCCAAAATAAGGGAGAAAACATCATAAAACCACCGGTTTTACATGACAGACAGAGTTCAATTAGGCGACTTTTGGACATGGATCGATCAACTTTGATCGAAAACACTGCCATTCGACTCGCCGTAGTCGAAAACCTGTGCGAAAACTTACTGCGAAGTGAAATTGTGCGAGTCATATCATCAATTTTCTGCAAAAAAAGGTCTACTTGGGATCGGTCGCGTTTCTTTAAAGATGAATATCGAAAATTCGGGTTAGTATGATTCTTGTAGACCTTCAGTAGACGAATCTAACCCATAAAAAAAATATGATTCGAAAGCATTATAAGTCCCTACTTGGATGTTCGCAAGAAAGTCAATATACCCAAGCTTCGAAAACATCACACAAAAAAAACTCGGGAGGGTGTCGTTTTGTAGCCCTTGACTTGCTCTATCTACTCTAAAAATTTCACTTCTCCACCATCGACCTATCAAAAGTTATTAAGAAAATGGCCACCCTTTTTTTATTTTGAAACGAGTATTAGTTTACAATCCATTGTAAATTTTCAAAAATGCATTACAAAATTTTCTCGAATATTTCCTTGTAGGCATCATGTTTACTCTCAACTGTCATCATAATTGTTCGAATCATCAGTTCAATAATGATAAATCTCCAGTTATAATATATCCAAACTGTACTCGCATCAATCAACGTAATATTTATACCCACGACAGTTTACACTATGGCAGATACGTACATTTGGGTGGTGATGTTGCAATTGAGTGTTCCATTATCGATAAATATATCGCACAAATTATTCATCACGATTTCTCCATGATTGGAACAGCTGCCAGTTTAAATCAAGAAGCCTTTAATCTGGGTTATTATCAACTGACACCTATTGAACGACGTTTATTAAGTAACATTCTTCATGCATATCTCGTTATTCAACTTGATCTATCCATGGGTTATGCTTGTGTATCAACTCCTTGTTCTTTAGAAGATTTTAGTCAATGGGCTTGGGAACAATTCCCACGTCTTCTAACTTGTTTCATTTATTTATGGACCAATCACCACACATTAATTGGTTCTTGTGGTGAACATTGTTCAAAATGTCTAATTGCCGATGGTCACCAAAAAGTTCGATGCCGTATTTGTGCTTTCAAAGACGTCAAAGTGGAAACAGAAGAAATGAAAGGACTTGTGATCGGATGTTGTCGAACTCCTGTTCGGCAGTCTCGACTCTGCCAACTTCATAATAAAGAAACAGTATTTTCTGTAAACGAACAGTCAAAACCTATTGTTAAAAAGAAAAGAATTATCCGAAAATTTATTTGTCGATTGTCCAACATGCTGAATAAAAAAAATGGTCATTTGAATTTAACCGGTTGTCGTACAGTTAAGGAAAGATCTGATCAATATGTTAAAAAGTGCACCAGATCCTTAGGAATAATAGCTCTCGTTTCTAATTGTCGAATAATTACTTCTTTTAGCGAACTATACAGATCGGAAACTCTTCGAGAGATTATTAATCTTTTTGCTATCACCATACGAGGTATAAATTCGTTTCAAGTTATTAATCTTACTTTTCTTAATATTTTATAGTTGCTGGCCGATTGTCGCCCCCGTGTGTCTATGATGACGGATGCCATCTTGTTAAATATATAAAAAAACCATATTGGCACCGAGCTCGTAGAAACGCCTGCCATGGTACTACTTCGTTCAACTCCAATTAGTGTTGACAGGAGTCATTTTCCAAATCATGTTGAAGTATTCTGCCGAAAAACAATGGACCCAAATAAAAATCCACGTTTGTGTTGCAGTTATTTTCCTATTGTCAACTCATTTTTCATTTTTAGTATTAAAGAATGTCAATACACAGGCTGCAGAACAAACATTTTCGTGGTTAAAACAATATTCTCGAATCATCAGTAACTTGAATTACCTACGTGCTCCAGTATTCATGTTGGTCCTGTTCCATTTGAAAAATCTGTCGGCGGTTAGAAGATCATCATCATTTGTCTTTGATGTTGTCAGTTGACATTGTATTAGAAATTGCTCAATACGCAGTTTTTTTTCACAGGCTTCTGCAATTCCTGAAGTTCGTGGCGTCTCTCTTTGTCACTTGGCTGATAATATATTTCAATATTTATCAACTACTGAACAAAATATTGGGATTTCTATCGGTACAAACTCGGCTCATACATTCGATTTTAATCAATTGAACTTACCCAAAGGGACAACTGATTGGGACATTAAGTTGCGCAACATTATGGCTAAAAAGAATTAAATTAATCTAATATTTTTTTCGTTCAATTTATCCTAACCTTTTATTTTTTCACATACGATCGAATTTAACGAGAAAACTTCTATAACAAAAAAACAAACTTGAAGTGAAATATTCATATTCGAAATTTTCTTTCAAGTATAATAACAGCCCTTAAGTGAAATACAAAGTTCCGTATGCAACAGAATTTTATGGAAGTCATCCATGAAAAATGAATATTCATTGCAAAATTCTACCCTAAATATAATAACAATCGTTACAGATAATAAACCAACGTTTTGCTAGGTAATAAGAATTCTACTGAAAAAGCAAAATTCTCAGCAGAATTTTGATTTCGAAGCAAAGGTAAGTGCATGTCAATGCACAATTCTGCTGGGACGTGAATCACTTGGAACGGTTCCCTCGTCAGTAGAATTGTGTTAGAATTCTGTTGTCCGAGCAGAATTGCGTGTCTTCGTATTCACTTATCTCTGTTTAGAAATCAAAATTCTGCTTAGAATTTTGTTTTCTCAGTAGAATTGTGTTAGAATTCTGTTGTCCGAGCAGAATTGTGTGTCTTCGTATTCACTTATCTCTGTTTTGAAATCAAAATTCTGTTTAGAATTTTGTTTTCCCTGCAGAATTGTGTTAGAATTCTGATGTCCTNATTCCGGAATGATCGATCTGGGAAATGAATAAAAGTATAACTGAAGCGATCATTTTTAAAAGAAAAAATAGTCGATCTTCCGGTATCAAAAATTCAATTATTATGTGTAGTCGAATACTAATATAATCGATTTCGCATGATTTACTCGTAAATGTTTTGGAATCTTTAGTAGGCCATTCGTTATTTTCTCTGATCATCAATCAGAACTTTGAGAAAAAAGTTTTGATGAGTAAATTCAGGATTTTTTTCATGCTTTTCTCGTTTCTAGATAAGGCTTCTTTTGTCACTTCTGTTTACAGCTTTATTTAAACATTGCACAATGAAACAAGTTACTCATTATTGGAATCTGCATATTTTAATGGTAGAATCACTGCATCAGAAAAAATCAAGTTAATGGATTCAAATACAACTAATCGAAATCAGTATATGCATTTAATACATAAAATGAAAATTTGAGACTTAAATATTATCATTAAAGTAGAGCGATAAAAAATTTCTTCCGATCAACGAAAAAAATGATATATCCCAGATCGATCATTCCGGATGTTCGTACCGGCGTCGTAAACGATATAAAACGGCACTATTGTGGCCCGTAATCCGTCAGCCCGTTTTATGACCCACCGTTTACTGCAGTAAACGATTACCGTATTTTAGCCGAAAAAAGGTCTCCATACAATATTGCTTCTTGCATTTTTTTCGTCATCCCATTTATGGCTATAACGCGGTGAAAAATGATTACCGTTTCTTTAAAAAAAACGATGATCGTTTACGACGCCGCTCTCTTTGACTTGGATATTCTTTATCTTTTTTTTAGTTCAGTCAACGACGATCACAGTGCTTTCAATGTTTTATCATTATCAGACTTGACAATGAGCTTAAAGCAATGCAATCTTGATAATAACTGAATATAAGTTTTAAAAGAAGGAACATTATGGCGCTATTTAAACATTCAAATATCAAAATGAAGAATAGCTATATTATCATTTTCAAACATGCATAAACAAACCTTTTGTGAAACAAAAGACTTCTCGAATTGTATTGTAAAACGAGCTTGAAACAAAAATGGGTTTTAAAAATTTCTATGAGCCGCCAAAAATCAGATAACTTTTAGATTTCTTTCAATAGGGTTGGAGAAAATTATTTTGTACTGTAAACTTTTATGAGAAGCTTTATTGTGTGGTGCCTTTTTCGATCTAATAACCCGCAAAAGTCGATGTTTCGTGCGAATCCTATTTAAAGACATTTCTCAAGAAAGAATAAAAATCAATGCTTACGTTTTTTATATCACAACATATAGAATTAGATATTCGATAACAACTTTTATCAGTGCTTCGTCAATAAAAAAAAACATTACTTCACTCAAATTGTTTTTAAAGAGACAATTGTCTTATTCTACTTGTGAATAACTCAAAGCCACGGTTTCGGATAATCTCTGATGGAAAAGCTAATTATATATGAGACTGGGGGAGAAAAGCGCTCCAAATATGGATGAAATCATTCTTAAACAGCTCACAACTCGCAACTATTTGTGATTTGTTCATCATCTCCTTGAAAACAATCCAAAAAACCATCAACAAGTCGATTTAAAGCAATACATTTTGAAGAATTTGCGCATCGATATGGTTTTGATTTTGGACAGTTAACATAAGTAATATTTGTCGTCGAACATTTGAGAAAAAATTCTAGTATCCGACTTTGCAAAGTCTCTGTATTTAGCAATGATTTACGTATATCCAGTTCAAAGAAGTGTCGGCAAGTTGCGCCATCAATCAATACAGTAGCTGGAAGCCATTCACAGAGTTCTTGATCATAACAAATATAATGAGGTAAAAGAACACCGCGCTCATATTTATTTGATTGATTATTCAAATAGGCAAAATAAACATGGCCCAGCAGTACCGGTTGAGCAGGAAAGAAGAAGAATGAAAGACAGCTATTTCGAAAGATTTTTTCATTATCATCGCGATCAAAACATTTAACTTGATCCCAGAGATTTCCAAGATCAAAAAACGGAGCTCTCAAACAAATTAAACTTCTCCAACAATCCAAAGATAAATGAAGATTTTCATGTCGAGATAATTTTACTCTGCTTAATACATCGCTGCGTCTATTCCCACATCGATCACTGGTACATTCTCCATCACCACACGGCAGCATACGTTCATTTCGACATTTTGTCTCTTCACAAATAAATAGTGAATTCCCGTAGCATCCTTTATTGCCCGATGATTCATCTTCGCTGTAACTATACTGTTCATCCGAACGATCAATGCAATCCGGATAATCAGGCTCATCATTGAAAAATTCTTTTGGAATACAAAATCCATTACTACAACGAAATTCATCTTCTTTGCATTCATTCATATGTAACTGTTCACAATCAATTTCATCTCGACCATCATCCAAACAATCAATCTTTCCATCACATATTTCACGCCAGTCGATACAGGATGGCGATGGACCGCGATTACATTCTATGAATGTATAACATGTTCCATACTTAGAGAATTCATTTAGTTCAACTGACTCATGAGAGAAATCAGCCGATACAATATCATAGAATGACCACGTTAAATTAAACGAATATTGACAATACTCACCAAACCACAGTTCTGAACAATTGTTAAATATTTGTGTTGATGAAGACGACTGTGAGTTTTCGAGAAATGCTTGATATCGTTCAACAACATCGATAGGTGCAGATAATAAATATAATTGTTGACTTGTTATGTTTTCTCTTTGTAATGTTTCGAATGTAATTGATGTTCCGTGAATGACATAATTTTCTTTATTGGCTAATAGGCTGGATGGTAAATCAACTGACCGTATACAGTAAAGAATTATTTCAGCATGGGGAATGAATATTTGTTCATAATTTACATTATTTGGAACTTGAGAGTATGGATCAATTTCGTATAACAAACAGTCGTGGTACGAAGTATTGTCACTTACATGATCTGTATAATAAAGACGAACGTTTAGTTTCGTCACTGATACTTGCAACATCACCAAGCGTAGAAATAAAAACCAGTAGGACATCCTATTTAGCATTATTTGGAACACTTTTTCATAAAATGCAAATCACATTTAAATTTTTATTGATTCCAAATACTTTATATAATCACGTTCAGCCTATAGATGTGTGAATAACAATGCATTTTGGCTGTCATAGCAAGGCATAGGATGTTGATCATTAATCAAATGCATCTGAACTTATAATGCTGTCAGTATGCCATAGCGATTTATCATAGTTCAGCTAATAACGCAAATAAGCACTATCGATCATTTCATAATAAAAAGAAACGCATGTTTGCTGTGTTATTCTTTAATTTTATGTTGAGCGTTTAACACATAACTGAAGTTATCCTGTATGAAAAAAATTATCCTCCAATGAAGACGTATTGTCGTCACTACATTCAGCCTTATTGTAATATCAGATTTTGTGAATTGGAAGAGATCGACTCGATAGTAATTCCCGAAAACTAATGATTTATATATTGATTTCTTCATATTGTTAGCTGTCTTTTTTTACCATAAACTCATATAAGGAAGAATAAGAGTAGAACTTTTATTCACNACATTCTAAAAGCATAAAGCCAAAGGTATTTCGAATGATTCACGAGCGAATCGGTTTTATTTCACTGTAAAACTTCGCATTGCTCTATATCATTTTTACAAACTGAGAATAATTTTGTGAGCTATTCATCTGTACAATTTGCTGTTCTGAAAATAGAAATTTTCATATCATTGTTTTTTTAGCTCTTTTTATTTGTTGATTATTCACTATAACTTCTTTCGAATGATTAGAGACTTCTATGTGCTTGAGAACGGTAAATGAAACAATTTCGAATGGTAATTAGCAGCAGTGCGAGCGATGGATGGATTAAGGAAGAGTTTTTCTTGTTTTAAAAAGTTGACCAGCAATATTCTCTCAAATTTGACAAAAGCATCTAAGACTTCAAATTGACAGAAGATGTGTATCAAGATTTCTTTAATTTTGGAAAAATTTATTAAAGTTCTTTCTGTTCTTCTAAGTTAAAAAGTGAATAAAAGTTCTACTCTTATTCTTCCTTATATGAGTTTATGGTAAAAAAACAATGATATGAAAATTTCTATTTTCAGAACAGCAAATTGTACAGATGAATAGCTCACAAAATTATTCTCAGTTTGTAAAAATGATATAGAGCAATGCGAAGTTTTACAGTGAAATAAAACCGATTCGCTCGTGAATCATTCGAAATACCTTTAGCTNATACGCATCATTCATATCATACAAATCATATGAATAACAGTAGCTCTGAAAATCATGAATATCATGTAATAATGAACTCATTAATCCATAAGATGAAATTCGAACAGTAAATTTCATTTTTGCAGAACGATCGAGAATATACTGTCACCATAGACATACACGTTGAAGTTTCGTTGTTTTTAAAGTATTATTCACGTCAAATTGAATGCTTTCAAACAGAACTAGAGTTCACGAGTATTTCATCGAAGGATATCATTCGTTAGATCCTAGATATCGTCAATCGATTGAATTTTCACCTATCGTTGGAGGAGGGCTGGACCATTTCCCCCTCTCAAAGAGAAATTGTTCCACTTCAACAAGAAATGCTTAAACCACATAAAGTCAGAATGAAACCCTTTTTTCCACAAGAATACTTTCATCTTAAGGCATGTTTCTACTCGAAACGGATTTTTTCTATTAGAAATGATTAATTTTTGAGGAGAAATGCTTCATCCATATCCCCATTCATAAGGAGAAGTTGAAAGCAGATAGAGAGAAAGGGTTTTTTTAGCATATTGACGGATGCTTCAAGTAGATGTGGTTTTTTCCCATTAGACATGCTAATTTTTGAAGAAGAGTTGCTTCACTCTGAGATTGTGTAAGTTGCATGGTGGTAGAAATTGTGAAGGACGGTGGACATATGTGTAAGGACATGTTGCATCTAGGTCATTTATAATAGCCAACACAATGGCATGTGCATCAAGTTGGTAGTATTATGTAAAATGGTGAATATAATGTGCTAAATTTTGAGAAATGTACATTTCTGTTTTTAGTTGTAGCATGCAAGTCACTTTGAGATTGCTGCGAAGTGGTTCGTTGGATTCATAGCGTTAACTAAAATATTCGATCTAGAAAACAGAATTTCATCACAATATAAAAAAATAATTATGCAGAGAATGTTCGACTAAATGGAAATTCAATCGTATTGTTTCTGTTTGAATTGAGAATGACTACGTGAAAGTTGCATGTTAAGTTAGATAGAGTAAATGAACAGGAGTAATTATTCGTTATCATTCGAAGGTAGATGCGATAAATAATGTCCTTCTCGATTATCCAACTGAAAATTAATAACTAATCAAAGTTTATTTACTTGAATTTAAACATGAAAGTAGTGCTAGAAAATAGGGCTAGCATTATACTTCTTCCACGAGATCGATTACTTTGTGGACAAAGATATATGGTCTAAGCATTTCACTTTGGAATAAGAACCATTTCCCCGTGAAAGAAAAACCATTTCTCTCTATATTCAAGTATATACACAGTATCGTGTAATAGATTATAAAGGGTGTTTCATAAGTAACGGCTCCATTTTTAAAAGTCTTGCTTCATACAAATGGGGCCGTTATTTATAAAACATCCCTTATATTCTGATAGAGCTCGAAATTCTCTAGCACCCTGTATAGTTATCTTTCATCCTACTTGTGTTTGTTGTAAACAAAAGTTGAATACATTAGATATATCCTCAGTTGACAGGGAATCAAATTGACTAATTTTAGAAACTTTGAAATTATTATTATTATCAAAATAAATATTTACAGAAGTAAATACATATTCTGATAGAGCTTGAAATTCTCTATCATCCTATATATTTCTGTCTTGCTTTGCAATTACTTACTGAAGAATAAATCGAATATTATAGAAGCACCCTTTGGCAAACTTTAAAAATTGAATTTTTTATCTCTTTCACTTTTATTTTAGGGTCATTGCCAATATAGAAACAACTTTCTTGCCAACTAATTATATATTCTGATAGCACTTGACATTCTCTATCGTCCTAGACTTCTGAAAATAAAAACGAAAGAGATAGTAAAAAATGCAGTCTTTTATAGTTTATCAAGGAGGGTGCCTCTGTAATATTCGAGTTATCCTTTAGTAAGTAAATCCAAGGCAAGACAGAAATGTTTAGGATGATAGAGAATTTCAAGCTCTATCAGAATATCTATTTACTTTTGTAATTATGTATTTCGATAATAATAATAATAATAATTTGAAAGTTTCTAAAATTAGTCAATTTGATTTCCTGTCATATGAGGGTATATCTAATGTATTCAACTTTTGTTTACAACAAACACAAGTAGGATAAAATATAACTATACAGAGTGGTAGAGAATTTCGAGCTCTATCAGAATATAAAGGATGTTTTATAAATAACGGCCCCATTTGTATGGAGCAAGACTTTTAAAAAAGGGACCGTTACTTATGAAACACCCTTTATATGAGTGTACCCCCCTCCCGCTGCCGCCTTCCTGAGAATGAGTTTAAAAGTATCACCTATCTGTTAGAGATTTCGATGAATATCTTCGTTGCTGCCTTCATTTCGATCTTACTAATACTTATTTATAATAAAAAAAATTGTTTAGATATACACCTGATAATTGAAAATTCACTATAGTCTAATATGCGATTCGATGTGTTTTCATGTCTTCTTTCTAAAATTGAACACCGCAGCTTCCCTATCTTGTCTTTTGAAATAGACATTAGTAGATGTTTTATGTCATTTTTCACTTTTGTCAAATTTTTAAGATTTATAAAAAAAAAAAAAAGAAAAACATTCACGAACAAAGAGAAACTTCGTTTATATTTTTACTTTAGTCACCAATAAATCTTACGTAAGTTTGTCTCGTAAGTTTCGTGCAAATATTAGACACAACAAGTTTAGATTTCGAGAGAGAGAGAGATTTATTTATTTATTTTGTTTGAATATTTCAAATTATATTTCAAGTCATTTAACGGTATATGTAGATAGAGTTTAAGTTACGGTATAAACAACGGAGTAAATAAGAATATTTCTCTCACTAATGAATGAGACTCATAAAGGTAACGAATTGCATAGCCAATGCAGTCTTCGAATTACTATCAAATAGAATACTAGAGAAGTGTTCAAAACATTTAAATCAATGTTATGATTCAAAAAAAGAAACTACGATTACATACCTTAAATGAAGTGAATTTCGATGATTTGTTGATACCGATCGACATTCAATAATCCAAATACTTAAATCTACTGCAGCTGTTTTTCCTGCTAAATCATCATATGAACCTTGTTTACATGCAGGTTCTAAAATTGACCAAAGATATTTAACACCCATCTAAAATAAAAACATAGATTTTTGTTTGTGCTGTTATTTTTTGTTTTCAAATGAAAAATATATTGAGATGTAAATATTTATTTTAAATAAACAAAATATAAAGCTATTATGATTATAAATTCATTTAACTTTCTTTTTTAAAAAAACTTTGTATTTTATCTTTAAAACGTATTGGAACTAATGATAAAATTGCACAAATTCCAAGCATTAATATTGAACGCCATGAAAATACATCTGATGGTGATGTTAATTGATGAAGAGTTTTACCAGCTTGAATAAATAATACCGATGGTAATGCCACACCAGCAAATGTACCAGCAAAAAAAAGTCCTATGGGTACATCAAGTATAGGCGAAAAAACATTAATAAACCAATTTGGTAATATTGGTGTTATACGTAAAAATATAATGAACCATATAAGACTACCTGTATGTGCTTGAACTCTTTTTTGCCATAAGGTTATTTTATCATGAAAATATTTTAAAAGAATATGTCGACCAAATAATTGAGAAAGTAAATAACAAAAACTTGCGCCTAATGATGAACATAAACAAACAAGAAATAATGCTAAAGGAAATGGATATAAAAATCCAGCTAATATGCTTAAAAATATTGAACCTGGTATCGCAAATGTTTGTAAACTAAATTTAAAAAAAAATAAATTTTGTTTTTTTTTTGTTCTTCTAATAAATGAAAAATTTAATCTTACAAAATATATGTGAGAAAAAAAGCAATCATTATTATATATCGATGATGTTTACTATATTTATATAAAACATTTCCAAGAATTTTCGCATCATCAATTGTTTTCGGAATTTTAAGAGCATCTTTATCTGTACTAAAGAACAACAATAACAAAAAAATAAATATATAAGAAAAACAAAAAATAATAAAATCTTTTATTTATACATACGTATCTATTTTGGGAAATAATATATATAAAGTACATAAACTTAATATTGAAAAAAGAAATATAAATACTAATACAAAACAATGACGACGTTTTATACGGGCACTTTGTGGACTTATTAATTGAATTGAAGTTATAGAACTTTCAATCATTTTTACAGGAATAAAGTTTTCATTTGATTGTACAGGTATATCTAAATAAGCAAAAACAAAAAAATATCAAACATGATTTTATTATTTTTTGTTTGATATGTTCAAAACCTGGAATAATAACTGTATGATCACTAGATGAAGTAAACATTTGTCTTGATTACAAGTATGTTTTGTCATGAAAGTAATATATTTTTCTATTAAATACACATGCTTACTACTTCTATATAACGTTCTTTTTTCTTTCCTTTTTTGCTTGTCCAACATAGAACTGTGTGTGTATGTTTTTATTTTTTTCTCATTCTCTTTTTCTTTTTACTCTTCTGTCACACTGTCGTTAAGCTACAAGTAATTCTCATTTCAAAAACTTTTTTCCTTCTGAAGCAAACATAATGAAATTGTCTTGCATGCTTATTTTTTTGTCTATATTTGAAACGAGAAAAAGTAAAAACTATCTTTTTTTTTTTTTTTTTAGAATACTTACATTGATAATTATATTGTCTTTTCTTTTCTTTTACTGTAAAGAAAAAAAGAAATAATTTCAATTTGAAATCTAGAAAAAAAGAAGTTAACCAAAAATTTGTCTTGTTTTATTTTTAGTCTTTATTTAAAATCAATAAAATAAATTGCAACATTATTATTCAAACACAAAGCAATATACATTAAAAGCAAAGAATAAGAAAAAAAAAACAAAAAGTCTGCTTTTTTTCCTCGAAATATGTTTGTTTATTTTAAAGAAGTTCACATGCTCGACTACGCTGTGGTCTGCTAAAAAGTTTTGATGCATTATTTTGTTCACTTATAGTTTCTGCTGTTTTAAGTGATTGTTCATCACCTAATTTAGCTTTTGCCAAAGAACGTTGCATAAAATGTGTTGTAGGATCTTCATCTTTATTTATTGTCGTTGGTATTTGTACTAAATTAGATTCAGTTGGTAAAGAATTTGAATCATTTTTACTTTGTGATGATTGAATAAAACCATTTTCTTTTGGTATTGGTTGAGATGAATTTTGCGCCGTTGTACCTTTAAGACTACTTGATTGTTTTAATTTTGCTTCTTCAGCATCTTGTCGTTTCATATCAGCTAATATAGCTTGAAATGGACGTGATATAACTTTGCCTGAACGATCTTTTTTATTCAATATAAAATATGTTGTTACAGTTATTGCACCATTTATTGTCATTTTTGGACGTTCTTGAACTTCATAGGTTTTACGTTCTAATAATTGATATGTTGCATCCGTGATATGAATATGTAATGCCTAGTTAAGATATACAAATGTTTCGTACTAATTATATGAAAGGATATTTGATCGAGAGTTTAAATCAATAGATAAATTCTTGACGGAGAGTAGAACTCATCAAGTTAGTCCGAGTTTAAAAGTTTTGAACCTAACAAACAATACTTGAGAGTAGCTAAGCAGTTCTAGAGAGCATTCGACAATGTCAAATGGTTTCTAAATAAATCTTAAGATAGATAATATTTATAAATCGAATAGGAATTTGATTAATAAAAGTTTATAAACATAAATAAATGCGAAAACCTCGGATTTAAATCCGAGTGTTATGTGTACTTCAAAAAGTTAAAAGGTATATTCACTGCGTTTTTTCTCACTAAATTGCAAGGAGAAAATACAGGCGTACTAAGTTAGCATGGACCACATTGTATGTGACCCTAGACGGTGACCATTGACTCTACTCTCAGAGTGATATAATATCTTTAGAAATCACACAAATTGAGTTCAGATTCGTGTTCAGCTTGGAAAACTAGGTAAGAAGAGTTATTTTTGAATGGATTTGTGTTTGTATTTAGCGGGATTGCGATCGTAAACAACATCAGGAATCTATAAGAGATATATATCATAGATACAGGCATCAGTATTTTCATAATAAATCACCAATATTAATAGTTATCGAGTTCGGGTTTTTGCCTTTCGATGGTCCTTTTGACTAGCTACAAAACCAGGCATTTGGAAAACCCCAAAACTACTGGTCATCTGAGACATATATAGGCAATTTGGTTTCTGGATGCAGTTTTTGTGCATTTTGAGACCTTTTTCAGGCAATGTTTCGTTAGAAAACTACGATTTGGTTCAAAACGAATATGATATTCGGAATCAGCGTTAAAAACTGAGGCGATCTATATATATTGTGGATAATTCTGAGAAAAATTTTTTTTTTGAAAAAAATCCCTGTACATCCCCTCAGAGATGGTCTGGTCAAAAATGACAATTTTTTCGATAACTCAGCCATTTCTTGACGGATCCTTTTCATCTTCGAACTCGACCTAGATATTGATGAGACAATTCTGTGCACAAAATTTCAGCTCAATCGAATGTAATTGTGAAGAGTTATCGAATAAACGGCCGGACACACTGGCCGATTTTAGTAGTATACTCACTTTTTGAGTACACAAAAACGAACAATGTTTTTGAATATGGTCTTAAAAATCTATACTTTGATCATTATTATGATATTTCATTTATATTTAACAAATGCTTTTATTGATATCTTTTAACATAAAGATTCTTTCTAGAAGGTCTCTTCAAATAAATGTCAGGATCTTAGATAGAAAATTTTTCAATTAATTCTTTTTAAATTGACGTCTGTAATATATAGATCATATTTGAGTTATAACGCATTCATGGATATTATATGTTAAAGGATCATAGAAAAAAAAAATCATATCTCCATATATTTTGTAAGATATTCATATACCTAAAAACTTCAAAAAAGAAAATTGTACTGAGTTATTTACTTTAATCGAACTTGTATCATTAGTCTTATTCGAATCTATGAGGGAAATATTCTAACTTATTTCTTTCTTTCGAGATATTGGTTTGATCATAGATTATGTGCACTATTAAATCGAATAGACATTTTTAAGATATTGAGTTTAATTATGTTATTTTAAACACAAAATATGAAGAAAGACAAAGCTGACTCGCTGAAGAAATGTCAGGACACTGTAATCATAGTTAAGTTTATCATTAGACAAAATCTTAGATTAAAATCTATTTGTTGAGATTTATTGAGTATACTATTCTATTAAACCACACGTATGAGTAAAATATGAGGATATTGATTAAGTAAATGTTCATCATATTATATAGAAAATTCTCTAATACAAAATTAGAAAGTAAATAAATTTCTATATATGTAAATCCTGAGATTATTTACAAAAGAAAATATCGTTTCGCATGATAATATCTTCAAGAATCGATATAAACATATTTTTGAAAAATTCATCCTTTTTATAGTACACTAATTGATTCATTGCTTTAATTCGTGCATGTAATTTATTATTTACTAAATTAAAATTTTTCTTTCACTATTTCTTATCATTTTTCTATCAAATTTAGCCTATGTCTTCAAGATTTAATCAATTTCAGACTTGAATCATCCCGTCAGACTCTAGTGATAAATTTTACAATGATTTGAAAAAATTCTCTTTGTATTCGATAAAACATCTTACTTTACTCGTTTGTTCCAATTTATTTGCTGTTGTTACTGTATCACCAAAAAGACAAAAACGTGGCATTTTAATACCAGCTATACCAGCAACTACTGGACCACTATGACAACCTGCAAACAAAAACCATCGAACTTTTTATTCTTAATCTAAATAAATGTAAATAACAAACCAATACGAATTTTAAGTTTTTCATTATTAGTTGGATTTGTTACTGTAACAATTGAATCAAGCATATCAAATGCCATATCAATAATTTCTGCTGCATGATTTCGTGCACCTAAGATCAAAATAAATTTAATTTATTTGTTCCTTAGTAAAATAACTATTTACGTTCAGGTACACCACTAGCTAACATATAAGCATCACCAATTGTTTCAACTTTATAACAATTATGTGTTTCTAAACATTTATCAAATTTTGTATACATTTCATTAAGTATGGAAACAACTTCCATAGGTGTAAGTGATGCACATATCGTTGTAAAACCAACAACATCACTGAATAAAATTGTACAGCTTTCAAATGTCTAAATATGAAGAATAACAACGAAAAACAAAAAAAGAGAGAAATGAAAATTTTCTATCAACAAACAATAAACGAACGATTGCTTATTTTAAATGATATGTCCATCGATTGGCTACTATGTTTAACAATGGAATTTTCTTCAATAGATAGCGCTCATATAATTTGATTTCAAGTGAGAAACAAAAAAAAAAAAAAGCTTGTTAGCGCAGCCCCTTTTGGGGCTGAAATATGGAACTCACATATGCTCTCTAGCCTCATTCAACTAATATAAAATACGTAAACTGAAAAATCTCTCCTAGACTAAAGTTGTTTTGCAGGATAATCAATCGCAAGAGTAAAAATCTCTCTAATTTCGAACATAATGTTCTTTAAACTTTTTTCTATGGGCGCCCTATTTTTTATTTGCATTGCTGCTATTCGCTCATTATTTTTTTAAATTCATTTTTCTTAATTTATCATTCTTATTATTATTATCATTTA